GGATGATTCAACCACTCAACCACTAGATGTCGCTGAAAACAACAAATCCTACACACTGTGCCTCTAACTAAAATAAATAAAAACTGTAATAAATTTTAAAAAAAACAATAACTAACCAAAACTGTGTAATCATTTTACAAAACTAACTAAAACTAACTGAAATTATCGATAGAATATCCTAACTTTCAGTGTTTGCCAATTTATTTTGAGCCATGTGGATCTTTTTATGTATTAATGTTTTTCAAATCGAGTAGTTTCACATTAGCTGTGGGCAGCTTACGGCACCTCATGGTCCGTAACAACACTTGTTTACAATCTGCTGCTGCTCAGCATCGTCTGCCAAATGATGACAACAAAAGTTGGGAGAAAGCGGCAACTATTGTCATCATCCTAAAATAATCACCCAAGCCCTTAGTTGGCAAAATTCCATCCATTTTCTGTACACGCTTCTTCATTTTCAGGGTTGCGTGGGTCACTGGTGCCCATATCCARCAGTCACAGTGCGAGGGGCGGGGTACACCCTGGACAGGTCGCAAGTCCATCACAAAATTGAGTTACCCAAATATTTTAGGATGGACGCTTTAACTAGTAACCAAATAGCTGCTCGTTAGTTAACTCTCAGGAACATCACAAGCTTGAGGATGCATTGGCAAATATGTTTATTCAAATGATAAAAAACTAATACCAGAACTAATAAAAACTAAACTAAACCTAAGCATTAAAAATGCAATAATAACTGATAAAAACTATAAAATGCACTGTAAAAACTAATTAAAACTAACTGAATTAAAAGGAAAAAAGGCAAAATGAAATAAAACTAAACTATAATGAAAAAGCCAGAATTATTATAACTTTTGTCTGATGGAAGTCACATCATATTGGGAATTATGCCGCATAAAAATCGGACCTGAGCAAAAAAATCAGAACTGCGCATTACGATTTGCTGYGTGAACGTAGCTTATAATGTCCTCTAGAAGTATTAATTGTACAATTGTACAGCTTTTAATATTTGAATTTAACTCGCTGATGTTTGCAGTGATTGTGGTTTCAAACGTTTTTTTGTTATTTGTTCATTTTCGTGAGTGTTTTGGATCACTGATGGCTCACTACCCTAGCTGGATGCTGAAACGCGACCTGGCGCTTCACTGCGACTAATTAACATCCCTTCCTTAATGATCAGATCTCGGGGAATGTGGAGAATCTGTGCCAGTGTGGTGGAGTTCCCTGCTAAGGCTCATTGTTCTGCAGCACCTCTGACCCTCGGACATTTCTGCCCTCAGATGCGATAAACATCTCTGTTTTCCTTCCCGCTCCATCCTGTGTATGTGCCAGACAGAGGAGATAAAAGAGAGGAGACGATGTGGCTCAGAGCAGGGCCAGTGTGTCTGATACGGTGGAGGTGGTGGTGGTGGGGGGGAGTTTACACACCACATACCTCTCATAGCTCGCTCCATGTGAGGGTATTAGGGGTCGTGTTCCCTTTAAGTGGCCACAGGGAAAACATCTCGTCCAGGGAGGAATGCAGGGGCACAGGGGGGCCCTCGGTAGGTCGAGCTCCTGGAGGACAGTGCGTGCTGTTGTGTCAGCTGAGTGGAAATAGATGCAGTACAGCGTGGACAGGGAAACCATTCACTGCAGCACACATCCCACCACACCCAGTAAGCGGACACTGTAATGAGTCAAATCTGCCCTTCGTCCACAAATACCTTTGACGTGAATGAAGGGCAGGAGAACCGATCTGGAGACTGAGAGCCGTCTTATAGTTAACTAAAACTAATTAAATAACAAAAACTGAAATTGAAAAGACATTTTAGTTAACTAAAATAAATAAAAACTAATAAAACTGTAAACTTTTTACAAAACTAACTAAAACTAACAGAAATTATAGATAGAATATCCTAAGTTTTAG